CTGCGAGTGCAATGGTATCATTTTCTGATGTGTTTTGTCTTTGATAGACTGGGTTCTTCACCAACTGTATGACACTGTGACTATCTACATGAAGAATCTTCTCGTGCTGCTTCTTGCCTAATTCTTTACATAGTCTGTCATCAATATCATTTTCTTTCTAGTTTTAGCTATTGCCACGTACAAAGCCTTAGTAGATGAAGGAGCAACACAATTCTGAAGCCTAAACATCCAACTCATCTCATCATCCATGGCTTGCTCCCACTTGGTTGTATCCTCTAACTGTAGGGCATCACTAAAGGGCTCTAGTTCCTCTTCATCAATCAACAACATATAGTGTAATGAAGGTACATACCTATCTAATAATCTGATAGTTCTGGTTGATTCTCTTAACACTTGCTTAGGTGTCACTTGCTCCACCTCTGGAACCTAAGCAACAGTCTTAGAAGTTTCTCGAGTATCTACTACAACATCACTATGTGAATTGTTCTGTAGCTCAACTTCAACTCCCACTTGCTTTGTTGTCCCAGAACCTTTCTTGTCTTTGTCCTTGTACATGACATTTTCGTCAAAAGCCACGTTATACTGGCTCAAATTTTTTTTTGTTCTTGACGTCTAAAAACTTATACCTATGAAGTAGCAATTCATAGCCTTAGCATCAAGCTTGTAACTCTCTTTTCTATCCATACCTCTTTTGGCAACTTGAACCGTAAGGGTACTGACGACCCTCTATTTATCAAGTAGGCTATTGTATTTACAACATCAACTCAGAATGTCTTTGACAATCTAGAACGAATCCTCATACTCTTTGCCTGCTCATTCAATGTTCTGTTCATCCTTTCACCAACACCCCTTAACCACTCGGACATATTGACACCCCTTATATAAGGAATGATTCGTTCCCCCTTAACCAATCGAACATATTGACACCCCTCCCCCTTAACCAATCGAACATATTGACACCCCTTACCCTTAACCACTCGAACATATTGACACCCCTTACCCTTAACCACTCGGACATATTGGCAGGACCTGTGCAGGCATAGCCCAACCGATTTCAAGTTGGTCTCCTTAACCACTCGGACATATTAACATCCCTAATATAAGAAATGATTCGTTCCCCTTAACCATTCGGACATATTAACAATCTTATATAAAAAATAATTTGTTACTTGTTCCACCCCTTACCCTTAACCACTCGAACATATTGACACCCCTTACCCTTAACAACTCGGACATATTAACACCCCTAATATAAGAAATGATTTGTTACTTGTTCAACCGATGTGTGATTTCACAATAAAGCTAAAAATTTGTCAATGGTAGAATTTGAACCTACGCAGGCATAGCATTTCGAGTCTGTCTCATTAACCACTCGGACATATTAACATCCCTTATGTAAAGAATGATTCTTTCCCTGTTTAGCCGATGTGTGATTTCACACTAAAAATTCGTCAAACTTCAGTTTCTTCTTGGATTTCATTAAACATCGGTTTCTCAGATCTTCAATTTCTCGTTTGCGTATACTTTCGCTGAGAACTACTTCTCGAATTTCTTCATCAAACTTCAGTTTCTCAGATTCTCGGGTACTACTGATTGTGGCAACAATAGTATCCCACTTTCATTTCTCGTTTGCGTTTACTTTCGCTGAAACTACTTCTCGGATTTCATCAAACTTTAGTTTCTTCTAGTATTTCATTAAACATCAGTTTTACAGGTTTCTGAATCAAACTTCAGTTTCTTATCGTATTTCATTAAACATTAGTTTCTCAGATTTCTGAATCAAACTTCAGTTTCTCAGATTTCTACATCAAACTTCAGTTTCTCAGATTTCTACGTCAAACTTCAGTTTCTCAGATTTCTTCTTCAAACAAGATTTTCAGGGATAGCCCAAAATTGCATAGCCGAGTTCGTCTCCTTAACCATTCGGACATATTATATTGACACCCTTACCTTATATAAAGAATGATTCGTTCCTTGTTCAACCAATGTGTATTTTCACGATAAAGCTAAAAATATGTCAATAGCAAGATTCAAACCTACGTAGGGATAGCCCAACAGATTTCGAGTCTGTCTCCTTAACTACTCGGACCCAAACTTTAATTTCTCAGATTCTCGAGTACTACTGATCGTGGCAAACCATTCCAACATATTGACACCCTTATATAAAGAATGATTCCTTCAGTTTCTCAAATTTCTTCTTCAAACAAGATTTTCAGGGATAGCCCAAAATTGCATAGCCGAGTTCATCTCCTTAACCATTCGGACATATTATATTGACACCCTTACCTTATATAAAGAATGATTCGTTCCTTGTTCAACCAATGTGTATTTTCACGATAAAGCTAAAAATATGTCAATAGCAAGATTCAAACCTACGTAGGGATAGCCCAACAGATTTCGAGTCTGTCTCCTTAACTACTCGGACCCAAACTTTAATTTCTCAGATTCTCGAGTACTACTGATCGTGGCAAACCATTCCGACATATTGACACCCTTATATAAAGAATGATTCCTTCAGTTTCTCAAATTTCTTCTTCAAACAAGATTTTCAGGGATAGCCCAAAATTGCATAGCCGAGTTCGTCTCCTTAACCATTCGGACATATTATATTGACACCCTTACCTTATATAAAGAATGATTCGTTCCTTGTTCAACCAATGTGTGTTTTCACGATAAAGCTAAAAATATGTCAATAGCAAGATTCAAACCTACGTAGGGATAGCCCAAAATTGCATAGCCAAATTTCGAGTTCGTCTCCTTAACCATTCGGACATATTATATTGACACCCTTACCTTATATAAAGAATGATTCGTTCCTTGTTCAACCAATGTGTGTTTTCACGATAAAGCTAAAAATATGTCAATAGCAAGATTCAAACCTACGTAGGGATAGCCCAACAGATTTCGAGTCTGTCTCCTTAACTACTCGGACCCAAACTTTAATTTCTCAGATTCTCGAGTACTACTGATCGTGGCAAACCATTCCAACATATTGACACCCTTATATAAAGAATGATTCCTTCAGTTTCTCAAATTTCTTCTTCAAACAAGATTTTCAGGGATAGCCCAAAATTGCATAGCCGAGTTCATCTCCTTAACCATTCGGACATATTATATTGACACCCTTACCTTATATAAAGAATGATTCGTTCCTTGTTCAACCAATGTGTGTTTTCATGATAAAGCTAAAAATATGTCAATAGCAAGATTCAAACCTACGTAGGGATAGCCCAAAATTGCATAGCCAAATTTCGAGTTCGTCTCCTTAACCATTCGGACATATTATATTGACACCCTTACCTTATATAAAGAATGATTCGTTCCTTGTTCAACCAATGTGTATTTTCACGATAAAGCTAAAAATATGTCAATAGCAAGATTCAAACCTACGTAGGGATAGCCCAACAGATTTCGAGTCTGTCTCCTTAACTACTCGGACCCAAACTTTAATTTCTCAGATTCTCGAGTACTACTGATCGTGGCAAACCATTCCGACATATTGACACCCTTATATAAAGAATGATTCCTTCAGTTTCTCAAATTTCTTCTTCAAACAAGATTTTCAGGGATAGCCCAAAATTGCATAGCCGAGTTCGTCTCCTTAACCATTCGGACATATTATATTGACACCCTTACCTTATATAAAGAATGATTCGTTCCTTGTTCAACCAATGTGTGTTTTCATGATAAAGCTAAAAATATGTCAATAGCAAGATTCAAACCTACGTAGGAATAGCCCAAAATTGCATAGCCAAATTTCGAGTTCGTCTCCTTAACCATTCGGACATATTATATTGACACCCTTACCTTATATAAAGAATGATTCGTTCCTTGTTCAACCAATGTGTATTTTCACGATAAAGCTAAAAATATGTCAATAGCAAGATTCAAACCTACGTAGGGATAGCCCAACAGATTTCGAGTCTGTCTCCTTAACTACTCGGACCCAAACTTTAATTTCTCAGATTCTCGAGTACTACTGATCGTGGCAAACCATTCCGACATATTGACACCCTTATATAAAGAATGATTCCTTCCATGTTCAACCGATGTGTGTTTTCATCATAAAGCTAAAAATGCGTGGCAAACCATTCCGACATATTGACACCCTTATATAAAGAATGATTCCTTCCATGTTCAACCGATGTGTGTTTTCATCATAAATCTAAAAATGCGTCAATCGCAGGATTCGAACCTACACAGGCATAGCCCAATAGATTTCGAGTCTCTCTCCTTAACCACTCGAACATATTAACACCCCAAACTTCAATTTCTCCGATTCTCAGGTACTACTGATTGTGGCAACAACAGTAAGGGATGTGAGATTTCATAATAAAGCTAAAAAATGAATAACCAAATTTCGAGTTTGTCTCCTTAACCATTCCGAAGTATTGACACCCTTATATGAAGAATGATTTGTTTCTTATTCATAAAGATAAAAATACGTCAATAGCAGGATTCGAACCTATGCAGGCATAACCCAACAGATTTCGAGTCTATCTCCTTAACCACTCGGACATATTAACACCCCAAACTTTAGTTTCTCAGATTCTCGAGTACTATTGATATTAACACGATTCTTGAGTACTATTGATTGTGGCAACAACAGTATCCCACTTGTATAAAGAATGATTCGTTCCATGTTCAACCGATGTGTGTTTTCACAAGAAAGCTAAAAATGCGTCAATAGCAGGATTCGAACCTACGCAGGCCATAGCCCAACAGATTTCGAGTCTCTCTCCTTAACCACTCGAACATATTAACACCCCAAACTTCAATTTCTCCGATTCTCAGGTACTATTGATTGTGCCAACAACAGTATCCCACTTCCACTTATATAAGTATTATGTAGGATGTGGGATTTCATAATAGAGCTAAAAATTGCATAGCCAAATTTTGAGTTTGTCTCCTTAACCATTCCGATTTATTGACACCCATATATAAAGAATGATTCGTTCCATGTTCAACCGATGTGTGTTTTCACAAGAAAGCTAAAAATGCGTCAATAGCAGGATTTGAACCTACGCAGGCCATAGCCCAACAGATTTTGAGTCTCTCTCCTTAACCACTCGAACATATTAACACCCCAAACTTCAATTTCTCCGATTCTCAGGTACTATTGATTGTGCCAACAACAGTATCCCACTTCCACTTATATAAAGAATGATTCGTTCCGTGTGTTCTTCAATTTCTCCGATTCTCAGGTACTATTGATTGTGCCAACAACAGTATCCCACTTCCACTTATATAAAGAATGATTCGTTCCGTGTGTTTTCACAATCAAGATGAAAATACGTCAATAGCAGGATTCGAACCTACGCCGGCATAGCCCTTAACAACTCGGACATATTGACACCCTAGACTTTTATTTCTCAGATTCTCGGGTAACTACTAATTGTGGCAACAACAGTATCCCACTTCCACTTATATAAAGAATGATTCGTTCCGTATGTTTTCACAATAAAGATGAAAATACGTCAATAGCAGGATTCGAACCTATGCAGGCATAGAGCCGAACAGATTTCGAGTCTGTCTCCTTAACCACTCGGACATATTGTCACCCCAAACTTCAATTTCTCTGATTCTCAGGTACTGATTGTGGCAACAACAGTATCCCACTTCCTTTTATATAGGATGTGGGACTTTATAATAAAGCTAATAAATTGTATAGCCAAATTTCGAGTTTGTCTCCTTAACCATTCCAAAGTATTGACACCTTTATATAAAGAATGATTCATTCCTTGTTCAATCGATGTGTGTTTTCACAATTAAAGATAAAAATACGTCAATAGCAGGATTTGAACCTACGCAGGCATAGCCCAACAGATTTCAAGTCTGTCTCCTTAACCACTCGGACATATTGACACCCCAAACTTTAGTTTCTCAGATTCTCAAATACTACTGATTCTGGCAACAACAGTATCCCACTTATAAGTATCATGTAGGATGTGGGATTTCATAATAAAGCTAAAAATTGCATAGCCAAATTTCGAGTTTGTCTCCTTAACCATTCCGAAATATTGACACCATTATATAGAGAATGATTCGTTCCTTGTTCAACCGATGTGTGTTTTCACAATAAAGCTAAAAATAGGTTAGTAGCAGGATTCAAACCTACGCAGGCATAGCCTTTGTTCAACCGATGTGTGTTTTCACAATAAAGCTAAAAATAGGTTAATAGCAGGATTCAAACCTACGCAAGCATAGCCCAACAGTTTTCGAGACTGTCTCCTTAACGGGGCGATAACATCCATCAGCACCCGAAACGAAGAGTTCACAATTTTTCCATCCTCCTTTCAGCATGCATAAACAGATACATACTAAGCGGAAGCATAAAACATGGTTAACTTTTCATAGAACGTACACATTGCCACCTAAGCTCATAACATGGAAAAGTCTAATCAACTAAGGAAATTAATCCAGCATGCATGCATAACAAAGCGATTCCTACAAGTACTCATTCCTAAGTTCCGTGTGGTGACTTACATGGTTGACACGTGCCCTTTCGCTAGGGCTACTAAGCACGTAGGGTATCCAAAACTATTGATTTTCCTCAATTAGGTCCCTATTCACATAAAACCATTGTTAAAACGGGAATTGAGATGAAAATCGGGCAACTAGAAGTCAAACAGGTCAAAAAGGTCCTTACACGCGCCCTCACACGCAGGGAAGGAAGCTAGTCGAAAGTGGACACGCCAGTACAACTCTCGGTTTGCTTTTGCGCAGTCGCGGGTCAGCGCTCCAGTTTGGGTCGACGATTTGGATCGCTTGGGTGGACCGTGGGTTGGTTTGGCCGACGAATTGCGGGTCAGGTCGGATCTACTCGCAGATCTGGAATCGGGTAGGGCACGCAAACGATGCGCGTCGCCATTTCGCTGGGGCCACATTGCTCCAGTTGTCGTCTGACACGGAGCTCTAGTCGATGTCTGACGTGTGTCGCCTCCTCATCAAGTCGTGCCTCATCGGTTGCCGAACGACACGTGGCTGCTTGAAAAAATCTTCTCCCCTTCCTATCCGACAAAAAAAAAAGAAAATGGCTAAGTTTTCTTGAATCTTCTCTTTTTTCTTTTTTTATCCTTCGATCTAAAACTCGAATCAACACGATTTCTTTTACAAAGTTGTAGATCGTAATACCATCTACACTTTAGCATTTTTTCTTTATTTTTTTCCTCATCACAGGATGAGTTACGAACATCGAAAGTAAGTCCATTAGCATCCTTACCACTTTTGGGAGAGCTCTCGGATCCTTCGCGTTTTCAGCCAAGTTTCTCCACGGAATCAGTGAAAGACCTTTCCTAGGTAACACACCCAAATGACCTTTCCTAGGTAACACACCCAAATATTAGATCTCAATTCATAAAAGTTAGTCTCAGATCTTGAAAACATTCTAAAACTCATCTCGATTATGGACGAAGTTTTGCCTGGCTCCTAGATTCTCCCAAACTTTCTTCTAATCCTCCTTTTCTTTTTTATGGTCAATATTAGGGTTACACTTGTACCCTCTAATAGATGGAAGAGTAAAATGACCCATTTGTCCCATTTGTCCCTTGGTTGACTTGGGTCAATTTCTCTCTCTCTCTTTAATTTCAGCTTTACACTCCATGCCAAAGGTTGAAGTATTTTTCTTTGATCTCCTTAATGTAGTATTGGGTGATTCCAAAGTCAACAATGATATTCCTGACCGCTTTGTGATTAATCCAAGCCTCGACATATATAAGAGACTATGTTCCACTGACTTCCTTATTTCTTCCACTCTCTTCTGGAGAGCGAACAAGTACTTTAGTGCCCCCATGCGGTGGCATTCAACATTCTCAACTAGCGATATTTTTTTTCTACCGTCTCATAATCGACTTTTGAATTCACTCGGAGTTTTGCTTGAAAGGTGTATAGTACCACCTTTTGCGGGCATTCATATTTTTTATGGGCCTCTTGCATATGTAGCAAGACAAGGGGCCTTGATCGTGACTACTCTGACTATGAAGTTTTTGCCATTGAGTTCTACCTCTATGTTGAGAGGACTCGCTTTCCCCTCTTCTTCCTTTAAGTCTATCACCTCCCCCACCCTTGGGGGAGGGGTCGGTAATTGCTATTAATCCCACTTATGGAAGCTTGGTTCTGCCTTTCGTCTTAGAATTGATAGTTGCTAAGGTAAGTAGCATAAGCCATTGAAAAGGTCTTGGTCCCTTTGGTCATAAAGTGTGGCCTTCGCCCACACTTCAGCCCCTCAATAAAACTTAAGACCTTGTCTTTTTTAGACATGTCACGAATATCTAACATAAGCCCAAAAAAATCGCTTAACCTAGTCTCAAATATTGCTAGTATATCTCAACTCTCTTAAATTTCTCGCGTGTATCTCGACATTCTCTGGGAAGAACTGAAAGCAGAGTTCTTATTTTCTTTCTCACGTGTCCACGATATTACAACCATCTTAAATGTCCATGTACTTGGATCTCCACCACAACTTTGCATCGTCGATTAGATGCATTGTTTCCAAAACTTCACTTCTTCTGCCACGGTGTTTGTGGCTCGAAAGTAAAGTTCAAAGTCAAAGATAAAGTTCCCTAGAACCTTTCCATTTTAAACCCCATAAAAGGGCTTAGGCTCCAGGATTTTTATTTTGTTTAATTGTATTATAATTCCAGGTGAGGTTTGGTTCCCCACAACTCCCATGGTGAGGTTTAATCTAGTTCTCAGACAGCCACTTCGACCCTGACCACTCCTAGGGCTGCTCTCAAATCCTTAGACATTTCTTAGACCATTTGATCTATTGCTCGTTGGGCCTTGTCTAAGCCCTCGATGTGTTCTTCCAACCGAGTTTTTCTTGAAAGGTGATAAGAAAACCCTATTCCTCAGCCCAACGATCCAAGCTTTTGTTCAAGCAAGAATCCTGGAATCAAAGAAATTAACACCTCCTTATACAAAATTCGGATCAACAAAGAGATAAGGCTAGAATTACATTACATGTTACGATCAAAGATCTAGAAGCTGATGGAGTTCATATAACACATGCGGAAGAAATTTGAATCTTAGGCACTCTTAGAACATCTATTATAGTAAATAACTAGCATGTTCATAAATATTAAAACTCAAGGTCTTTGAGTACTAACTTTTTGTAATTCAAATTTCTTTTTCCTCACGAACCGGTTTCGAACCACTATTAGTGTCTTCTCCACTATTCTCCAGCCTTAGAACGGGATTGTTGAATCCATTGAGTGACTAAACTTAGGAGGGACTTAGTATAGATGAAGAGAGAGTTTGTGAGAGTTTTTCTCAAGATTTTTCCAAGGGAGATGTTCCATGTACCTTGATCACTTTATTTATCGAGTCATGTTTGCATGTTCATGCAAATTTGAGATAACCAAATTTTGACACTCAAAATTCCACTCAAATGTTTGGGATTAGGTGGCAAGCATGCAAGTTTGAGTTAACCAAATTTTGACCCTCAAAATTCCACTCAAATTTGTGGGGTTTATTTGGTAAGCATGCAAGTTTGGTTAGACCCAATTTCGACATCTCAAAATTCCACTAACTTAAACATGGATTTTTTGATTAAATGAAGTCAACATTTTGACTTTCTTCATTTTAATTCAACAATTAAATTGAATAATTTAATTTTATATTAAAGTAATATTAAATGATTAATTAAACTATTTAATTAATATTTAATATTAATTCAAATATCAATCCCAGTCAATTTCGAGATATATTTGATTAAAATATTTAAATCTTATTTAAATATCTCAGATTCTCTTTTTTTTGTTTAATCGTAAATAAAACAGAAATACGGTTAAATATATCATATATATGTAGCACATATTTCCTAATTTGAATTCGAACACTTCGAACTCACTCGTCATACTGTTCTTTGGTTTAATCCGATATGAGCTAGCAGAGGGACCTAATGGACCTATAGATCATGGGCTCCAACGATCCAAGATTAACCGGTTAAACTTGATAACCTTGTTAACCAACATTCGTTAACTACTAGGACACTCCACTATAGCCTAGTAGTTGCACTCCTCTCACTATAGATATATTTATGTCCATTTGATATAACCATGATGTAAGTCGATCCTTCACAGGTTGTTCGTAACTAGAGCTAGGTCAATTTACCCTTTTATCCCTGAAGTTACTTCTTGTTCCTTATGTCCCACTGATCCTCTAATGAACAATTGGTTTGTGGTCCGACCAGTAAACCGAATCTCTCTCAAGCCAATGAGAGGGTGGGGCCCCTTGTTCAAGACCTAGAGTCAGTACTTAATGGAACTACCTCTCTTCTATCCCTAAAAGTGTGACGAGTGAGTTCGAAGTGTTTGAATTCAAATTAGGGAATATGCATTACATATATACGATATATTTAACCGCATTTTTGTTTTATTTACGAATTAAACAAAAATAGAGAATCTGAGATATTTAAATAAGATTTAAATATCTTAATCAATTATGTGTCGGAATTGATTGGGATTGGCATTTGAATTAATATTAAATATTAATTAAATAGTTTAATTAATCATTTAATGTTACTTTAATTTGAAATTCATTATTCAAATTAATTGTTG